CCGTCCAGTTGGTTATCGCCATCGCTGCCAACCTCGCCCTCCTTCTCAACATGACCCGCCGGCTACGTTTCTCTATTGCACAGCCTGTCACCATCGTCGGGTGGTACGTTTCCGCACTCACTCTCATTGCTCTCACCGCGACAGCCTCCGGACCCTTGATCATGCAGCCGGCCGACGAGTACATCTGGTCACAAGCCTTTTATTATGGCATTTACTCGGCTGTGCTCTACTTCGTCGTCGCTTCACTCATGGTTGTCACGTTTATGGGCGCCCAGACGGAGCACTACCCGAAAGACTTCATTCTTACGCCCAGCCAACGAACCCTTATGCTACAGACCATCTCGTTCCTCATGTACCTTCTCGTTGGCGCCCTCGTCTTCTCTAGGATAGAGGGCTGGAACTATTTGGATGCCGTGTATTGGGCTGCCGTGACGCTTTTTACTGTTGGTTTTGGTGACTTCCACGCCACCACAACCCTGGGTCGCGCTCTTCTCCTACCATACGCGCTGATTGGCATCATCAGTCTTGGTCTCGTCATCGGCTCCATCCGCAGTTTGGTCCTCGAACGCGGACGACACCGACTCGATGCCCGCATGGTGGAGAAAAAACGGCGTCAAATGCTAAGACACATGACATCGAAGGGCAACGACGAAATCCTCGTGCCCGTGAGGGACCGGCCGGTGAATGGCGAACCGCCAGGTCTGCCGTCGCTGCTATCCAACGGCTCTGGGTTGACCGAGTTTGAACGGAGAGGGGAGGAGTTTAAACTGATGCGCAAGATCCAGGAGGACGCTGCGCGCAGGCGGCGATGGCTAGCCATGGCAGTCTCTTCCAGCACCTGGCTGGTCCTGTGGATGGCAGGTGCAAGGATATTTCTCAGCTTCGAGCAGCCGTACCAGCCATGGAGCTACTTTGATGCATTTTACTTTGCCTTTGTCAGTTTGACGACCATCGGATACGGAGATATAACACCGATATCTAACGGTGGCAAGTCGTTCTGGGTTTTCTGGGCGTTACTGGCGCTGCCAACCATGACGGTGTTGATCTCAAACGCTGGTGATACCATAGTCAAGTGGGTTCGAGATGCCACAGACCAAATCGCTACCGTCACCATCTTGCCCGGTGAGCGAGGATTCCGAAAGGACCTCAAGCAGTTTCTGAGGATGCTGTCTTTCGGAACCCTCTTTGAGGAAGACATCGAGGAGGCAGTACCAGGCTTTCTTGGTAACGCTCAGCCACACGACTCTACGGAGGAAGAGGATGAGGATGAGGATTACATAGAAGGCACCCTCAAACAAGATGAAAACGAACTCGCGGCCGAGGGTGTAGCTCCCGAATCCGCTAATCGGAAGAAGGCACGAGATGAAGAGGCGGAAGGGGTTCACTCGCGAAGAGTCGAAGAAAACACAGCATCAGAGCCCACAAAGGAGCAGTCCAAAAAAGCCATATCCTTCGACGACCATGCCTCAACGGGGCCAGGAAGCAGCCCCGGCAAAAGCCGCAATTCGCTTCGCCCGAACAGCCCTAGCAGTTCATCACAGCTCCTCAAGATGACGCGGGCTGTCTCCATCCCTCGACAAATCTTGCCTGACATCCCATCCAACGCCGCCGACTACCACGTCACGCTGGTCGAGGAAATCGGGCGCGTCACCCAGCACATCAAGTGCCACCCCCCTCGCAAATACACATTCAACGAGTGGGCGTGGTACCTGCGGCTCATCGGCGAGGATGAGGGCGATGCGGACCGGCATCGGAGGGCGTTGCCACACTCTCACCAGAGGAGGCATAGGCACCGAGGAGAAGGGGGTAGACATGAAGGGAAGGAGAAGGATGAGGAAGGTGAGGGTAGCGGGACGCCGTGGTCGTGGGTCGGGAGTAGGAGTCCCCTCATGGACTCGCAGGAAGAGGCTGAGTGGATCCTGGAACGGCTTACGCAAAAGCTGACTGAAGAGCTGAGGGGGGTGAGGAGGGCGGAGCAGAGCCTGAGGAAGAAGAGTATTTTTGGGAGGAAGGATCATGGTTAGGATTTTCAGGGGCTGGTTTTGGTGTGGGGATTGCGTTGAAGCGTAGCAGGGAGCTTGGGGCATGTTTATTTGGAAAGATACCCATTATTTGCCAGTGGCTAACTTGGTCCGGACGCCGCTTGGTCGGGGGGTGCTAGGACAGTATTTAATCCCAGAATCATGGGCCAATTCCTTGCCTTGGGTTTCCTCTCGTCAAGGTGTTGCCAGTCAATGTTGTCCTCTTCATCCTGCTGTGGGGCTGCCTTCGCTGGAGTGCCTGCGACAGAACCCTTATTGTTCTTATTGCCCGGAGCATGGAAGACCAGAAACTTGTCGTTTCACTCTCCTTTAATGAACCGACGCGTAGCCATATCCGCAACCTCGGTACACATGTCGAATCCGAGTGGATACATATATGCGGCGAGCACATTGGTTTGATGGCACACTTCATATTCCTAGCACAATAGTCACCAGCCGGTCAGATCAACGTCCGAGGTGACTCTCTTTGAGTAAATAATCACAAGGGTAGCAACCTGCAGAGATAGATGCGAGAATTAGATCTTCAATCGGTTAGAGAAAACAATATACCTCAGGGATAATGACTATATAAGCTTGCTGTTGCCGGCCGCTATTAGTGGCATTAGCTAGGCGAACAAAAGGTAGGCGGGAGCCGCTGCGGGGGCCGGCTCGACAGCCTCCTCGAATTTGACATGCTCGGCCAAGTCACTGCCAAGGAGTTTCCCCGGTAGGCTACGATACGAAGAAAAGATATGTCATCGAGTCTGTTTCGATTAGTCGCCCCGGGCAAGGAAGATAACCTATCAAGCACAAGACCGTAAAGCTGGTCGAACCGTGAGGACAGCCGGCCGGGGTCGGGTGGCGGTTTCAACTCCCGCGCCCACCCGAGACTCCCTGTCGCCCATGTCACTCCGCAAGTGGAACAGGAGGTTGGGCACCAGGGCACAGGCGGGGAAACACTACCATCACGCTGTGCTACTCTATAACCTAATGCTGATTGAGAATCAGTCCATCCACTCGAAATCGTCCCAGTCATCTTCATCGTCCGAGTTATCTCCATCGCTGTCCTGGTGTTCTTCGGCGGATTGGACCCGGTCGCCGTCTTCAGCGTCGTCTCGCTGCTCTTCGACGGATTGGGTTCGAGGTTCCGGGAAACGCTACTAAAGGTGACGGAGGTATTCGCGAGAAGCAGCCTGAAATATACCTCAGTGAGTACGTACCAATTGTGAAGGAGTGGTGATTTCTGGAGCCAAACTTACCCAGGTTTCGCGAGCCTCTTTCTAAATGGGGATATATATATATGCGGCCAAGTAGAGAGCGATGGGTTCGGCGTCGTCGACCTATCGACGTAAACCCTCGTATGGCTTTCTGTCCTCCACCTTTGTCATCCTGTTCTCAAGCCCTGTCAACCTGTGGTCGATGTTCTTCTCTATCTTCTCCATTTGCTGGCGAACTTGCCTAAGTTTGTCAAGCAATATTGTGAACTTGGCATCCGCCTCACTGTGGCGCTGCAGATCGAGGGGTTTGTTAGAGGAGAATCTTCTATAGGAGGCCCCAAGACACAGCAGTAGTTCGACCAAGCTGTACAGATGGTGAAGGCTCCGGCGGAATACCGACAATCCGTATGATCCCTGTTGATGTGTGGAAGATGTCGATGCAATAAACATGTTGACACCCCCGATGCTTGCGTTTTCTTGTGAGAGTATCCATCACTCTCCTTGTATTCTGTGGGGACGAAGTAAAGAGTTTTATAGCTTCGATTTGGATATATACGGGATTTAGTGCTGTCGAATGATTCGCTAATGTGGGTGATGCCGGTACAGATGTAGATATCGATGCGGACAACGAAATGATCGTATCGGGCGATGCAATCATTCCCGTTTCTCAGTTTCGTGATGGATAACTCGGATGACGATACCGTCGGCCCTTAGAAGCGGACGCGGAGGGCAACGGCGAAGAGAATCAGCCATAGCCCTTGATCGCAAATAGACGTCGCTACCAGCCGTGTGCGCAATGTGGAAAGTTTCTCAAGGAGAAGAGCCTGCCCGCTCACAATGCAAGGTGTGTATGTTATTCTATTTGCCTCTGTTGGGTACGGATACCATCTAGCCAGCGTGGGACAATGAACTCCGGGACTTCACCCGGCAGGGAAACGGGGATTGCCATGGGTTCATGAGCATGCCAGAAGCACCCGCCGAGCCCATTCTCCCCCACCACCTTCCCGAGGCCGAGGGGTTGGACGACGAGGACGGCATGGTTTGTGATCCAAAATGCTCCCCCGCTTCCCTCCCCACCCTCGAGGCCCGCTTCGACTTTCGATGCTGCCGCCCCCGAGGACGGCCTCGAGGACAGCGGGCAGCTCAAGGTGTCAGCTACCCTGCCAGACTGGCCGTTGTCGTCGAGCCGCCTTGGTGGGGCAGGTTGCTGACGTAGCATCACCAACGTCGAGTGCGACCGTGCCGACCTCGAGTCCGCGCTCCGGCTGCCACAATAAGAGAGGCTCGAGTCTCTGGCGTTGCATGGCGTCAGCCTGCTGTGCATATCGCTTTCCCACCATCTGATATGTTTCCCCTATACTTTGGCCGGAATAAGCGCGGGGTGGTGGAGAGCCAGATGGGAATCCACCAAACCCTGGGTTGTTAGCGCGCTAACAAACAAACCAGGGTTTGGAGCGCACTCGAACGCCTGACCAAGTCAACGTCCAAGTTGCAAATCACACAACAGAAACCACTTGGATCCTTGACAATAAGCCAAGAAACTCTAGGCTAGTCAAGAGCAGATTACCACCTAGTCTCCCCTCCTTGAAACAACACTTTTCACATACTATCCATAATTATCCCCCTTCAATTCAACCTCAGCTTTCGCCCTGGAAAAAAGATGGAATCGTTATTTTTCGGTCGCTTACTTCCAATAAAATAATAACCCTAATTCTGGACTGCCTATTCATCTCCGAGTCGTTCCATGATCGGAACCAGACTAGGGCTGATGGTCTAGCGGTATGATTCTCGCTTTGGGTGCGAGAGGTCCCGGGTTCAATCCCCGGTCAGCCCCTACCTTTTTTTGTTTCGACGTTTTGGCCCAGAAATCCGATGGATCATATATTTGCTGTTACTTGATGTTCGTTCTTCCTCTTTGACAACTAGCTAGTGATACATGCGCATGAGTTGGCAACCGCCCCTGGGACGATAGCAGCATTCAAAGCAGAAGACAAGCAAAAGCTCCCTTATAGTCAGAGCTTCCCTTTGACTCCTCGCTAGATACGATATCCCTACAAGATAACCAACCACCCCACTCGCCGCCATTACACCCCATAAAATCCTACAAAAACACACCAACAAGATCTCAAGCTACTAGTCCCCGCCGGCGGCATTAGAATGCGCCGTCCCCGGCCGACTCCCCAGCCGCTTGAGCTTGCTCCCGGCCTTGGTATTGAACAAACTCTTGACCCTCCTCAGTCGCGACATCATGGCCTGGTCCTTCTTCTTCGTAACCTCCTCGCTCTCCTCATCGTCGTCTAGCCCTAGTGAATGCCCCCCCGATGTGATCGGCCGTTCCGGCGTCCTCAGCCCCGCCGGCGTCGTCCGCGGTGGAACCGAGCTCTTGCTCCTACTGTGCGCCAAGTTCACCCGCTGCCGGATAAACGCATCGTTGCGCAGCACCTCCACGAGCACCTCCCACCCGGCCTTGTCTTCCTCGCCAGGCGCGAGTGGCCGGGCGGCGGCGTTGCGCTGGGCTGCGCTATTCTTCCACGGGCAGAAGAAGCGGTGCTCGCGCAGTGGATCGAGGTGGTCCATCGGCGCGGGGGTGATGATGGTGTCAGTTTCGAGATCGACTTCCTTGCTCTTGAACATCCAGAGCCCGAGACGGCGCAGGCAGGTGTGGCATGAGGCGCTGTTCGGGACGGGGCCGATGCGCGGGTTGGTTAGGCCCTGCCAGCCGAGGATGGCAAGGGCAAGGGCGGGCCGGTTGGGAATCTTGCTGGCTGTAGAAGGGGAGAGGGTTTTGCCGGCTTGTTGTGAGGCAGGGGGGTCGGTAAAAAATGTTGTCGGGAGGTAAGAAATAGCAGTATCAATATTGAGGCCCGAGGGGAGGCGGAGGTTGAACTCGTAGGGCAAGAAGCTATTGCGGCCGCACAGCTCGTCGTAGCGCTGGCGGAGGTCTTGGATGGCGACTCTGGGGTTCGGGAGGGGTAAGCGGAGGAGAGAGTCTATCGCCACGGAGTCAGTAACAAGCCAAGTTTCCATGAGAGGCCAACGTACCATCACAGCCCTTCTTCCTCCACGGGCAGTCCTCGGCATGTGACTCGACAATCAACTCAGAATACCGCTGGACCACCGACTCGGCGATCTTGAACGCGATCAGCACCGGTATCTCCTTGCCGTCCACCTCCTTGCGGTTCAGCTTAACCACCAGCTCCCGCGCACACAACGTGCACTTGACGCGCTCCTTTCCCTGACACGCCCACCCACGCTTCGCCCACTCAACCTCGTTGACCCGGTCCGGCTTAGGCGTCCAATCCGTCAGTTCCTGGAAGGTGGCCAGGCGCCGCAGGAGCTGCTCCCGGTCGCCAGGGCAGTACTTTGGCTTCGCGTCGCTCTTCCCTCCCGTCGTCCCTTGCTCCCTAGCCGGGCTGCTTCCAGTCGGTGTCCATTTCCGCAATGTAATATTCGATATTGTAGTCTGACCTGGTCTCGGGGGCGTCTGTAACAGCCCCTCGCTCGGCACCGCACCGTACTTGGAGGTCGTCGATCCCGGCCCGCCAACACGGCGCTTCTTGACGAGAAACTCGAGCTCGCTGTTGCCCATTCTCGTTGACGAAGGCGACGAGGACAAAGAGGCAGCAGTAGGCGATAACTCTAGGCTGTGGTGGTCATCGCTTAGGGTTGAGGTCGATGGGTGGTTCGGATCAGAGGCTGAAACGGATGCCGAGGGAGGCCGGTTGCCGATCCCTTGCAGAAGGGCATTGAATTTGCGCTTCACCGTGGCATTCATGGTTAGGTGGGTGTGCGGGTGTGGGTGTGTGGTATGGACGTGGGCGGCTACTTTTCCTCCTTCTGCCGCTCAATGGGGGAAAAGCCGGCAACTTGTTTTTTTTTTTTTGCCGCTGTGACAGCTTGGAATCTGATACTTCAAATACGCGCCTCGTGTCGAATGTTTGGCTGTTGGCGTTCTGTACGACGATTGGATGCGGGGTCGCGTTACGAAGCTGGTATTACAATCTATGCATACAAGAAATTGGACTCCCGCGTACCAGCAAAAGACGAGGCTAGCAGTCGGTCGACGATTATTCCGTAGTTTTTTGGACTGAAATCAACAAAGGATGCGCTGGAGCTGAGAATGCGATACCTGCCCTGGATCCCTTGGCAGTAGGGAGAGCTCCATTAGCCTGCGACCGTGCTCTAGCATGGGGCGGTGGATCTGATCTACAGGTGGCTAACAGCCTAGTCACAGATGTCACAATGTCACGCAGGCCTTCGATATGCCAGTTTCAGCACCCTCTGCGCATCATCAAAATCACCACTGAAACGCAAGACAACAAGATCCAAAACTGATTATACAAAGAAAAATTGACCCAACACCTTGACAATGCCCCGGGTTCCTTCTGCTGCAAAAGACAAATAAAACATGACCGAAGGGTATCTACCAGAAAGCAGCCGCTAACTGCACAATCTCCAACCTGCAACTTCCGTTGACTCCTGAATGCATTCTCACTCACTCCGATGGTGAGCCCTCGATTTTCCTCTCCCTGAATCCTACTCCAAACACCCGACTCCTCAGTGCCAGCGAGCTCAACACCACACTGATACTACTCAATGCCATTGCAAGACTAGCCCACACCGGGTCAAGTCTCACATGGACGCCTTTATTGGTAATGGGGTAGAGCACGCCCGCGGCAACGGGCACCGCCAGACAGTTGTACACCAATGCCCATCCAAAATTGAACTTGATCCGCCTGAACACTAGCGCAGATAGGTCGAGTAGCGTGACTACCGAGCGCAAGTCGCTCTTGACGAGCACGAAATCGGCACTACTGATCGCCACGTCAGATCCCGAACCGATCGCAATGCCCACATCCGCTGTCGCCAGTGCAGGGCTGTCATTGATACCGTCCCCGACCATGGCTACCATGGCGCGGCGTGTCGATGACTCCGTGTTGCCCCCCGTGCGGGCCTTGAGCGTCGTCTGCAGGTACGTAATCTGGGCGGCCTTGCCCGTGGGCAGCACCCCGGCGATGACCTGATCCGCCGGGATGCCAACCTGATGGGCTACAGCGGCTGCCGTTGTGGGGTTATCGCCCGAGAGCATCCACACCCGGGTACCGCGGGCCTGAAGTGCACGGACAATATGCGGTGCTTCGGGCCGGATGGGGTCTGCGATGGAGAGGGCGGCGGCAAGAGTCCAGGCACCAGAGCCGGGGCCATGAATCGGCCTAGTTGCAATGAGCGCAACAGATTTGGCGTCGCTCTTCCACTGTTGCATGGTCTGGGTGGTGGTTTCAGGGACTGAAACAGAGAAATCCTGCATGAACGACTCATTGCCGACGATGAGCTCGAAGGACTCCTCAGGGTTGGTTCCCTGGGATGTAGCCTTCATCCCCTTCCCTGGAATTTCCTGCAGGTTGTCGATCTGGGCTTTAGACGAAGTCTGCTCCGCACAAAACATGACAATCGCCTTGGCAATCGGGTGGCTGCTGTTCTCCTCGACGGCTTTCAGCGTAGCCAGGACCGCATCTTTCTCCTGTGTATCTTTGGGATATATCTCCGAGTCCGTAATCTTGGGCTCTCCTCCGACGGTCAGCGTCCCCGTCTTGTCAAAGACAACGCAGTCAACCCGACTCGCTTTCTCGAACGCCTCGCCTCCGCCCTTAGCCAGAATACCATGCTTTGCCGCAATACCGCCCCCGACAAAGATCGCAGTTGGCGCTGCCAGGGCAAGACCGCAGGGACAGGCGACGACGAAGACAGCAATGGCGAACTGAAGTGAGAATGCGACCCAGCCACCCGAGCTGACGTCAAGGAAGTGACCTGGAATCCGACCGCCGAATCCCAGACAGAGCCAGATAATCCAGGTAAGAACGGCGATCAAAACAACGGCAGGAACGAAATACGCCGTCAGAAGATCCGCGATTTGCTCAATCGGAGCTCGCTTTGTCTGACCTTCACGAACGACCTTGACAATCTGGTCCAGCATTGACTGTCCAGCCGCACCTGTGATTCGCACCAGGAGGGAAGAATCTTTGTTGACAGTGCCGGAAAACACCTCGTCGCCGGGCACCTTCTTGACCAAACGGGACTCTCCCGTTAGGCTGGACTCGTCGAAATTGCTCTCGCCCTGCACGACGATGCCATCTGCTGGGGGCGAGCCACCATGCGTAACGCGCACGACATCGCCAAAGTCGAGAAGGTCTGCCTTGACTACCAGGTCTCCCTCCTTATCAGATCCGTACCATTCCACCAAGGTGGCTGTCGTGGGCCTGAGCCTTCCCAGCATCTCCACAGCGTCGCCAGTTCTAGACTTGCTGTAACTTTCAATCAACCTTCCCAGAAGCAAGAAGAAGGTCAGGAAAACGACCGAGTCAAAGTAAAAGTTTGAGTCATTGATCTCGGGGGGGTGGTCAACCGCCGCGGCGATGAGCTGGCTTACTGACGAAATGTATGCAATCGTGGTGCCAAGAGACATCAGCATGTTCATGCTGCCAAACCGGTAGAACCGCTGGATGAATGGTACCCTACTACCCCTTCGCCACAGAGATCGGATCTCCTTGAATGCCCTCCGGTGGAACAAGTCGGCCGCAAAGAAGTAAACTGGGGTTGCCATGATGAAAAGAGCCATCTGGGACCGGCTGATGCCCGAGGTCCACGGCATCATCATGAAGTGTTTCGACATATTGCTGTCGGGGAGCAAGCTCATATACACGATGCCAATGGTGAATGCCGGAATGCAAGTGACACCGGTGAAAATGACGCGCCACAAAATCTGTCTCTGGTGGTGTTGTTGGATGAGTTTCGACCTCTCCTCTAGGGTCGGCGGGTGGTATATCGAGGCGCTGA